TATATATATATAGTACACATATATGAAAAGAGTAGCGGCTTTTACTATATATTACTATAACGTTACTATATAGTACTTCTTATAGTACCAGGGCCATCAAAATAAACATGAAAAAGCGATAATAAATTTGTGAATTAATTTGTCAATTAATCACATTCAAATATATAAATATATATGTAAAATAAATGTTGATATAATGAAATAATTGGGAAGATTAATCTGATTGCATTTATACGCGGCATGGGCGGAATGATGCGCAGTGTACGTCCAATTATTCCACTGTCCGTCCACTTAACGTCAATCTAATACACAATCAATACACATATTGTTATATGTACACACTTTGGGGAGCTTAAATGGCTGCTCTGACGACCACACAAAAGGAACATTGCAAACGTCTTATTATCAATCTTATTTTTTTTGGAGTGGCACTCAGATGTGAACCTATAGCAGTGTTGCAGTTTGAATGAGAAAAAGTTTGTTGTCATTTTTTTTTCTCCCCCCCTATTAACCATTAAATATTAATGGATCATTGAGCTGTCGATGCAAGCATCTTCTGCTTCAGTCTAAAAGTGCCTGTAACGCCAGTGCGTTGTCTGCGGTCCATGTGTTCTCCCCGGACCGTCGACAGCACGTTTTATTTCTAATTTCTCTTTTTAGTTTTTAATTGTTACTGTTGTGTTTTGTATTCAGATTATTACCTAAATACAGGAATTGAATTATCCTCTTTTTGTGTTAGTTTACTCACTTCAATTTATAAAAGTATTTTTGTCATTGTGTGATAATATTCGTACCTGAGCTTACAGTAAGCAGATGGTAAAGAATGTGGCAAGAACACCGAGAGAGACAAGGGATTTAAAACGTGATCTAACTCATGGTGATGTAAATTATCTGTAAAGTATCGGTTGAAATCTAACGATCATATTTCTTAACTGTCTATTGTCAAGTCTATTTTTTTTTTCTTTTTCATATTGAAATTGAGGAGTGTTGTGTTCTCTAGGTGCGATTTTCCATCTGCTACTTTTGAAAGTTCAGGCTTTGGCTATTATGACCCTAGACCAGGCGTGGGCTAAAATGCTAAAATGCTTTTAGCCTTTTCTATTGGGGAAATGCTGGTATTGCAGGGGAAAGGCAGAAATATAATGAAATAAAGAAATGAATAACATAATTTGGCCAAGTTTGATGGGCCGGATTAAAATGCCAAACGGGCCGCATCCGGCCCCTGGCCCTAGTTTGCCCATGCCTGCCCTAGACCAGTGGTTCTCAATTATTTTCTGTCATGCTCCCCCTTGGGGACAGAAATGTTTTAGCGCCCCCCCCTCCCCCCAACCCACACCCCCGCTGAAATACTATTGAGAACCTGATAACATGTATATCTTTATCTGTACAAACCACTGTATGAGTTGCTGCCACCTAGTGACTGGAGGCTTGTTATCATTCAAGCAGTGATAGGGTGTCAACTCATTTTGATTCAGGGGCCACATTCGGCCTGGATTAGATGTCAAGTAGGCCGGACCAATACAATCAATACATAATTACCTATAAATAACAATATGTCAATTTCCCCCCCCCTTGTCAAGATCATTAGAAAATATTCATATTTAATGAAATATAATTTGACAAAACATCACCAACACGGGCCAGATTGAACTCCCTAGTGAGCCTGTCTTGGCCCACGGGTCGTATGTTTGACACCCCTACCCAAGACACAATACAAGTAAACAAAGGAAGGAAGAAATGAAGAAGTGCCTCATTGGATTTTCTCATCTATTGAGATACATTTTTTTTTTTTGTGTGTGTGTCTATCCTCATTTCATCAGGTAGTGAAACTTGTTGGGGAGCTCCAGTGCAGTAAACGAAAAAGGCGCCACAGAAAAGATAAAGGGTGGCTGTCCCCTCTGCATTACAGCACCATCACCTACACTACCCTCACCAGCACATACCACTACAACTCGACAACCAGCCACGTCCAGGTAAAGCACTGACATCATCATCCATCTTTGAACCTTTGAACCTTTTTTTTTACGCTCGAAACTGTATCGGCGCATTAAAATGTACATTAGTGTTCCATTACAAAACGAATGCATGTAACGTGAGCTGTTCCATCTGCGAAAGGGAGCACAAGATATTGTAGTAAAACGGTCGGGCTGCTTGGATTTACACACACACACACACACACAGACACGCATGTACATACTGTATATGTAACAGTTTACAAGGTACATTTTTAACAGAGTGTCGGGACTTCTACCTTTCTTTAAATCCTCCTAGCCTTAAACGTCCAACCCTTGTGCGAAGGGTTTTGTCTGAAATATTTATTCAAGCTAGTACTGGGGCTAGTACCCCCCCTCTCCACACACACACACCCCGCGTATCAAAATACTATTGAGAACCTGATAACATGAATATTTTTAATCTGTACAAACCACCGTATGAGTTGCTGCCACCTAGTGACCGGAGGCTTGTTATCATTCAAGCCTTACAGCAGGGGTACACTTATGTCCAGCAGGCTATATTCCATTGGAAGCCCCTCACGTCCCCCCCCGGCACCTCACCCCCCCCGCACCCTGAAGCTGGGGGGGGGTTAGGGTGAAAGCCAAAAATCACACTTTTTGTCGTTGTTTCGTTACACGAGGCACCTCTGTCGCCTCTTTACAAAACTCTTATGTACGTTCCAGCATTTTTCCATGTCTAAGTCAGCCCAGATGCCGCTGTCCAACATCACTGTGCCAAAGCCCTCCATTTCCAGGGTACCCAGCAGCATGGAAGGCATCAACCACGAGCTGGAGAAGGTTTTTATTAAAGACAACGGAGAGAAGGAGGAGCTCAAGGTAGGTTGCCCCTTTCGACCTTTTTTTTGCGTACCGCAAATGTCTGCGATCAACCCTTCTTTCTTTTTTTCTCCTTCTTCAGTCCTTGGAGGTGCCCGACGGTCGGCGAGCACCTTTCCCTCCACAGCAGAGAAGCAGCAGCACCCGCAGCTTGGACACACAGACCCCTTCTGCCCCCGGCAGGTCCAGCAGCTGCTCCAGCCTGTCACCCTGTCCCTCACCGGTTTGCCCTCCAGGTTCACACGATGGCAGTCCCTACTCCACAGAGGACCTCCTGTATGAACGAGACAAAGGTGAAGAGTGTTTTAGTGTTTTTCTGGCTCCATGGTTTAGAGAGAAATGTCAACAAGTTTATTTTTAAGGCTGACAGTTTCTTTTAGAGCTAGGTTGCAAGGTTAACCCTCCCGTTGTCAGCCAGCGAGACCCAAAGGACAATGGTAGGGTTAGATTTCATTTTCTCTAATTGCTTCAGATGTAGTTTAGTTTGTATTAGTTTTATTTTTCCATACTTTAGGTTATTTGTCAGATGTTCAATTCAAAAATATCATCATCAATACCATAAAGTGGTGCTTGGTTTACGACGTCATCGAACCTGGTTACGTCACCATCCCCTATAAATGTATTAAGTTATTGTTTCCATCATTCCAACTTAGGACGTTAAAACTCGCCAACTAGTTGCTCTAGGAATTACGGGAGCTAATTCGTAACACAAATTTCTGCAAGTGAAATAAAGTCTTAGCAAACTACGTATGAAAACAGAGCTAGTCATAGCACAACGATGCCACTGTTCTCACTAGAACAGTGGAACCTCGAGATACGAGCACATCGACATACGGGTATTTCGAGATACGAGCACGCTTACAGGCGTCGTCGCTAGGTCCCGGCCGTAAGCGTCGCCTCCGTACGTGGCGTTATCTACGTGATTTTCTCTCTATTTTGCGCATTAGTGCGGTGCCCACGTGAGTGATCGCCTCTTTCACACCATTAGCCGCTACTGTATCGTCTGTCTCGAAGGTAAGAACTCATAATTAAAACCACATTTTATTTTATATCACAGGAATCCTTATATACTATATATTGTGTGTGTATGTTTTTTCTATTGTTATTAGCACTAATAAGCGGCCGGAACAGATTAATTTTAATTCAAATTAATTTCTGTTATTTCTTATAAATTAAAAAAAAAAAAAAAAAAAAAAGATTTGAGATACGAGCACGGTCCTGGAACGGATTGTGCTCGTATCTCGAGGTTCCACTGTATTTTTCTTTCCGCCTTTCCCGCGGTGATTTATAAAATAAATAAAAAAAACTAGAAGAAATAGCACAATGAATAAATATGTATCTGCTTTATCTGTGTCCACAGACAGTGGAAGCAGCTCACCACTGCCAAAATTTGCCTCTTCACCGAAACCTAACAACAGCTACATGTTTAAGCGAGAACCGCCTGAGGGCTGTGAGAAGATCAAAGCTTTTGAGGAGATGAGGTATTTAATTCTACAGCGTGCGAGCAGAGCTACTCCTCAGCACTGTCTGATGCTCCTTTTTTTTTTTCTTTACAGCTCAAGGCAGTCAGCGACAGCGTCGGTCCCTCTGTTCTCCTGCCCTGACAAAAACAAGGTCAACTTTATCCCGACGGGTTCTGCTTTCTGCCCAGTGAAACTCCCGGGCTCTCTGCTCGTCCCAGCGTCGGAGCCCGAAGAGGACGCAGTGGGGGGTCAGATCCTCAGGGGGCCCCGACGCTCTACGGTGCACCCTCTCAGGTCTCCACAAGCACCAGCACAGACGACCCTCCAGAAGAGCCGGGGCCTTGTTCAGAGACTTCAGACCCCCAGACAGACAGCGAAGCCATCAGCTAGACCGGAGCAGAGCTGGCCTCTGGCTCTGGTATCCATGCTGGTAAACACCAACCATCAATCACTAACTGCCCAACTGACACCTCCCTTTTTTTTTTCCCTCTGCCAGGGGAGTTTGCAGCTCGCTGTGCTGACCTCCTCCTTTCCTTTCTATCTCTGCATGGCGTAACAACAATGTCCCAAATAACCACCGCCGCCACCACCAAGAGTTATCATCTAGATGTGTTTCCGTCCTGCATAATATCTGAGCTGTTGTTGGTCAAGGAGAAACCCATCGTAAAACGTTAGGATTTGCAGGTAACAAAGGGGGGAAAAAAAACACAAACAACACAGACCACTCTGGATAAGGTTGGGGGAGGTGAGGGGGGGGGGCATGCATTTTATGAACGGACATTTGTTGAAATGATGTGTTGTGTTCTGTTTTAACAATCACAGTATGAATAAGCTTTATACATATTACTATATATGTATATATACTTATATATGCTTATATAAACATATATGTCAGGGTTTTCCCTGGGCTTCTGTGGGCCATGGGTGCTGATTTCTATAGTCATGTTCTGTTGTCTCTCACAGCACACCTTTTTTTACCATTAGTGAGGACATAAAACAAAACAGGTAAGTATTTTTCGACAGTCACCGAGCAACTCGGTCAACGAGTATCTCTTTGCGTACGAGTAAGCGACGATTACACGAACCACCACTGTGCAACGCGGGAAACGCCCGCTTACTCGTCCTAACGTCTCGGTAGTAAAAACATTCGGCTTCGTACCGAACAATGTGTCCAGCTGGACCTAATGTGTCAAACTCATTACATACAGCCTATAACCACATTTCCCCCTTTGTTTTTATGAAAAGTATATTCAAAAAAATATTCATATTTATTGAAAAATAAATTGACAAAACATCAACATGAAGTGTTTTTGCTTTTTTTTTTTTTTTTTACTTATTCAAAACATAAAATTCATCAACTGGATTTAACCCCCTAGTGGACCAATTTTGGGCCGCGGACCATATGTTTGACACCACTGTTCCAGACTTATATTTTATACTAATTATCGTCTGATTACGGTACTTTCTTGCTCCATTTCCAGTCAGCTATTGTATAATAGGCATTTTCATTCATTTTTAGTCATGTCAGGCTGATATGGGGATGGGCTACATATATTCATTTCTAGAAATGTGCAGCCAATCAGTAACCTGCGTCCAGTGACGTACATGTTACATATCGTTTTTGTCCCAAAGACAAAACACTGTCTTACTTTTAGATCATCTGCCGTGTTTGCAGCGTAGTCACACAAACCACAAGGCACAGTGCCACTAAGTTTTTAAAATTTTTTTTTTTATGGCAGTTCGCTCTAAAAATATACCTTCTAAAAGTATATCTTCTCATCAAGAACTATCAGGATCGCTTTATTTATTTCCTTTCCTTTTCGGTTTCGATGCGTCACCAAATTGTCCCGCTCAAGTCGCCTAGTCGGAGGGAAAACCCTGTATATGTATATACACAAACACAGAGTAGCCATATTGAATCTAACTGTTGTGGCTCGTTGGTGTGTGTGTGTATTTATTAACGCATATATAATGTGTGTAGGTATGTATATATGTATATATTGTATAATAAGAAAGACATATGCTTTAAAGGAAAAAGCAAAACGGTGTATCGCTGTGTTACGTATTGAATGAGAGAAGCAACAGACGTATTTTAGACTGGATTGTGATTGTCACACGATCCAGGTCACATGACTTAATCACCCTATCGGAAAAACTGCAATGCAAACATCTTTAAAAAAAAAAACAATAATGGCCACAAATTTGGCTGCGCAGTGTCTGCATCTGGCCTAGCTTCAGGTATTTCACATTCAGAGTCTATACTCAGGTAATTTGGAATGTATATCCATACAAATATCTGCAGCCTTGACAAGGCAGAGCCGCTCTCATTACTCCCTGAAGTTTTCCTTTATTTCCAGAAGAATCATTCTCTCCTGATCTGAGTCCAGTGTATTGGCTGGAGCAGTGACAGGAGCCGCAGAAACTGATAGGTCGGGGTCGGGGTCGTGGACGGTGTATTACTGTACTGTACCACACGCACTGTGACTGTCGAAACGTGTGGTTGTATGTACGCTGACGGAAGCTTTCTGGACAGAGACTTTAAAAAAAAAAAAAAAAAAGACACTAAGATGTCTATCTGTTGGTGTCGGACATGTGAGATTGTCAGCAGTACTATCGCGGGGATTGCAAGCAAACAGAAGCATGCCGTATGTGCAGAACGGAGATGGAGTTGCACAATTTTACCTGACAAAATCTAGGCTAGGTTAATTTTTTTTTTTTTTTTATCGACGAAATGACACCGACGTCTGTTATTGTTTTCAATTGGAAAAAAATGCATCTGAAAGAGTAGAGCACAAGACAAAGGTCACTGGTGGTTAAACAGTTCTGCACGGTGCACTAATTTGAACCAGTTATTGTTTTTACAGTGTACTAACAATGTCTGGCTTCCACTGAAATTACCGATGCTAACACGTATCCGAGACAACGTTTTATAAGATACATCGCAGTGCGTTTTCGAAGTTATACGTTTAACTTGTTCCTTCAGTCGGCATCAGCTAAAGCTGTGAGGTCGTTAAACCCTATTTGCACAATCAACCGTGCGAAAAGCTTTATTCCCGATAGAGCAGTTGTGCTGCCAATTATTTTTAGTAATATCCTACGAAACAGTGTACGAAACACTGAATTTACCAACTTTTATCCAGTTTACCTAATTTATATTACTGTATTTTTCAGACTATAAGTCGCACCAGCCAAAAAATGCATAATGAAGGAAAAAAACAAAACAAATATAAGTCGCTCTGGAGTATAGGTCACACCAGCCAGCTAGAGTGCCCTCTAGTGCGAAAATAACTAACATGTACATTTTTAATGGTACCGGAGTAGCAGATACTGGTACACAAGCGTAGATTGCACTCTAGCGGCTATAAGTGTAAAAAAAAAAAAACAAATGTGAAAATTGAAGCGAATTATAGGCCGGAAAATACGGTATATTTACTTAAGTAGCCATCTGCAATTCCCTAAATTCAAGTAAAAACGTCCCATAGCACAAATACCGGAACAGGATGGTGGAAAACTATGTCACCGTGCAACAACTGTGAAACCAAAAAATACGAAATATTCACTCAACGTGTATGTGCTGGTTGTTAACAATATGCTGCCTTAGTTTTCATTGTCCAGTGTCTAACTTTCTAAGTTTGTTTGATGTATTTTGTTGCCTTCGAAAAATCGAATGGCGTTCTGGCTATTGCGTTCCTGTAAATCTTGAGCTTTTGCCTATTGAGAATATACCTGGTTTGCTCAACTGGAATATTTTATAGATTAGGAGTTCGTGGATATAAATATCCTAGAAGGGACAAAGCCACAGCAGTCATGCTCTACCAGTTAAATTCACACAACTATAGATCAACAGGCAGTGATTAGCCTTGTCGGAATAATCTTTTAACAGAAATTAGAGCTTAAGGCAGTGGTTCTCAATTATTTTCTGTCATGCCCCCCCCCCCCTTGGGGACAGAAATGTTTTCACGCCCAGGTGTACAGTAAAAAAAAAAATATATTTTTTTTTTTGCAAACTGATCTGAAAAACATTATTTAGTTGTGACAGGTACAACAATTAAATACTCTCCCACTAGGCAAAATTAGATGGCTATAAAAACTAAAATAAGAGAAAAACTCTTATTATCTTGAGAGGTGTATTTCTACAACTAAACAGGCACAGTAAGGAAATTCAGTAAAGTCAAACTAAAACATCGTTGCATTTCATTACATATAATTTTTTTGTGACCGTTTTCGTTTTATGGCGAGCCCTTGGGAGTTTTCTAATGTCAATTTTAAACACTGCTGTAACACACAGTAATCAGCTTCAGAATACATTTAAGTTTTAAGATAGCAGAAACGTTTCCCTCACAGATTAACTATCCTAATCTTGACATAAAAAAAAAAACAGTTTTAAGCACTTTATATCAGTGACAGCTGACACCCACTTGAAACATACTACATTCAACCAATATTTAAAGTCTTAATTTAAAAATGAACATTTGTGCAACTGTCATCTCCATTCAGCTGATTTCAAAAAAAAAAAAAAAAAAAAGTAATTCCCTATAATGCATTCCGTGAGATTTTTTTACCTTAGGAAACAAGCTTGTGGAGAGTTGTTTCTGTATACATTCTCAGCCTTTTGTCTTGTTTGTTGTCAGAGAAAGGTGTAGTACAATTGGTGTTTGGCTGCAGGCACAGTAGCACAGATTAAAGGCTCCTAGCTTCTTGTTTGTCTCCTCTTACTTACTGTTGTCATGTCACCAGGACACTGTTGACAACAAACGTCCAATCGTGTGTGCACAACAATTGCCGATAAAGCTTTTTATGATTACCGTTAATATGTGCAATGTTAAAAAAAACAAAAAAAACAAACTTTTGATACATGGTGTGCTTATGGAATCAATGCATTAACCCATCCCATTCCCATTTTGCACACACGTGGCCTTTTAAAAAGCTTAATGCAGTGCTGTGGTGTCTGCAAACGTCTTAGCATTTTAGCAAGGGTCTGAGCTTTTCTAATGTTAAGAAAAACCCCACATTGGTTATTTAGTTGTGTGAAATAATAGGAATTTTTTTTTTTCTTTTCCTGTGCTCCCGACTGTTGTCTTTTTCTTGACCCCTGCATTACATCTATACATACATATATATATATATACATATATATACACACACTGGTTTTAAAGTAGTCCTTTGCTAAAGACATCAATCAAAACAAAACCAGCCATAAGGAAAAGCTGAGCACATCACTGTCAAGTTAGACCAGGCATGGGCAAACTATGGCCCGCGGGCCGGATGCGGCTCGTTTGGCTCTTTAATTTGGCCCGCCAAACTTGTCCAAATTGTGTCATTGATCTCTATTATCATTATACCTCTGCCCTTTCCCCGCAGTTCCCAGATTTCCCCCAATGGATGGTGTAGAAAAGGCTAAAATCATTTTAGCATTTTATCCTTTTTGCATGACATCACACAAACGCTCCATCTATCTGGTTGCCCGCGAGTCAAAAAGTTCGCCCACGCCTGAGTTAGACTCTTCATAATGTTACTCAGTGATTTGTAATTTGCATTGTCAAAGTTCATGCACAGAGGCAATAAAAACATTGGTTGTTATGTCCACTTTTCAGTGTGTGTGTACAACAGGAAAGGGAACAACAATGTTTTACGAAGGGTGATGATAACAATATTTATTTTCATTAAATGTATATTGATATATATATATATATATATAATGAAACGGCATAAACGTTTTGCTAATACCCGATATGCCGATATTGTCCAAACACTTAATTTCCGATTGCGATATCAATCGATACTAGAATAAGCAGCCATTTCGCCCCCAAACTCTGGTAAACGTCCAACGTTTTAGAGGATAACGATTCTTGCAGATATTACATAAATATTCTAACATTTAGAGAGACAGAAGTAACTTTTATTTTAATCAGAAAGCGCTTTATTAACTCGCCTGGGATCAGCACTGAACTTCGCCAGGCGGCTCTAACACAAGGAACAGAACATACTGCGCATGTGCGCTACGACATGGTACATTCAAGGCACCCAAGAACCGTCAGGAAAATCACAACATTATAACTGAACATGACCGATTATTCTCCAAACTAACAAATATACATACATACGAAGTTGCCTTATGTTGCTAGGTATATTTAGGCGATGTCCTTGTTTTTAATATTGGTTGCCTGTCATTTCTTTCTTTCTATCTTGAAGAAAGAAAAAAAAATAATTCTTCTCTTTAATCTGGTTAAATGTCTCCCAACGTATGCACTCTCACTTCTAGGCACTTGGTGGTGCTGCTCTACCACTTTACTAGTAATCTCCTTGTCCTGTTTTCCTGTTATTGATTTACGTTGTTTGTCAAACGTCTCTTTGTTTTTGACAAAAGAGTGGCCAATAAACTGACATGCCGTTGGCGGAAGTCATTAACGGCGTTAATTTGCTTTGTAAAACGTTATTACCACAAATGGTAGCTGGCTAGCACGTTTACATGACGTGCATCCTTGTACCACAGTAAATATCCCAATAACACCTTGTGTATATATATATGCTATATTTAACATGTACTGTCAAAAAATAGAACATGACTCACAAATGTGTGCTCAGCGCAACCTGCAGGCCAACATGCTTAATGTCGACGCAGTTCTTTTCCTTTAAACAACTCATTAAATTTAAATATGTTTGTATCGTTGTAAAAGGACACTATGCATCAGCTGGATATTTGACCTGCAATAATTGTTGAAATGCGGCAGATGGCAGTAAATAACCACTAAGTGTAAAACATTCCTGCAGATAACGAAGTTTTAAAAGGTGAATTCAAATTTCGATTTTGTGTTGTGTTATGCCAGTACATGTCCGTCTCCGACTGTTATAGCTCAAGATATTTTGTGCTGCTGATTTGTTAAGACATTTTTTTTTAAAGTCAGTTTCTTTGATTTAAAAATAAGACTAAGCAAAAAAAAAAAAAAAACTTAAAATGATTTTTTTCATATTTTATTCTGAAACAGTGTTTGTGTCTGCTCATATGGAAAATTAAAATCCCTTCCTTTAATAAAAGACACAGATAACCAAACACATTCAAGCAGGGACCAGCTGGTGTAACACATCGCTAAAAAAAAGACATAGGGAAAAAGAAGACATGCTTTGCCCTTCACTCCGAAACCCCTCAGCAACTAATCAAGCCTTTAAATTACCTTTAAATTAGCAGGTACTTGGAGAGAGAAATGTTTCCAATCACCGTCCTACCATCCAGCCAATCAGGTTGGCTGACAGCAGGCCACAGCTCTCGGGGTTAAACACACACACACACATGCTGCTGCTTCAACACAGTAAATAAGGGTTTTTAAACAGATAGTGGACCTAGTTTGACCACAACGCAGTCAACATCAGTTAGACACCATCAGTAATCCTTTGGTGATCACCTTCCTCACGTGTCACTGCTGACCAGAATTGTTTCTTTAAATAGTGGCCTCCTTGATCTTTAGAGTCTTCACTAAAAGACTAAGAGACCTAATAGAACATAAAAGTCTTTTTGTGAATCACAATTAAATAAATGCCCAAACG